CCGTGTCGCAGACATGTCATAATTCAATCGTGGACAGCTAGAAATCGACTCGGTGCCGTTAATAGAAACTCTCGGCTGTTCGCACGTATTTGATGCCTTTGAAGAAAATTTCATTTCAAAGAGCAAACAACAGCTGAACGAATCGTCCCGCCAATGCTTCCGACGCTTTCTCACAAGTCCTCGTATCGCTTCTCTCAAGACGAGAGCCGTGCTTTTTGGCCTGAATCCAATCAACGTGGTGAATACATAAACTATCATTATGCATAATAACCATTGCTACAGTCTACATTATAGACTGCCAGTACACTCACCAAACTTAATAACCAGGCTACAGTCGACATTAGTGTTTTTTTAGTTTTTTATTAATTTTATTGTATTCACTTTTTAATTTTTCTATCTACGTGACTTTACCGAAAGAACCAAAGAATAAGAACAAAGAATATCATTATGCATTCATCAAATTATTTTAAAACACTGACACCTAAGCTATTTCTGGGATTACTGGTTGAAGATAATGTCTGTGCTTGACAAAAACTTCTTCACAATAATTTATATCCAACGTGTGAATTGCCTCACCGACGATGTTGATAATCATTTCTATCACTTGGTCTACCATGTGTTACCAATAACTGGTTGGCTACGTATGGTGAAAGAAGTTCAACATACATATCTACCTACAGAATTACTTGTTGTTAAGGCCCGATGTTTTTGTTTGTTAGATGCTGTATGTATCCAATTTCCCCTCCCGACGTTCAAGCGATTGGACGGAATGTCACCGATGTTCGGTCGCGATTCGATTCGAGAATCAATTCTAACTGTACACTGTGGTGGAACGAGGCGTCTCTACATGTCTGTAGGTGTGCCATTATCTTATTATCTTGCGAAAAATGTGTCAAAAAACATTAATTCTCACACGTGCAATGTGTTGCAAGGACCATGAGCTTAAGGGTAGATATTAATCGATGCAGTCATGCATCGCTAATAAAATGTGATGTAGCTTTTATTAACAGCCTGAATGTATTCCTGTACAATCTTATGAATGTAGTTTTTTTTCTTTCATACAAAACTATCTTAAGCATGAACAATTATTACTCGGTGTTGAAACCAAAATTAATATTTTACATCTCAATACAGCCACAACATTACACACATGTTGTTAAACGTTCACATTGCTGTAAATTATGAAACCTAATTGATTACACAGATTCCCCGAGATGTCCAATTACCCCAACAATCTAGTTTCTGGCCGAATTGTAACAACAGTGCAGCAGTAATTAATAGATTTAACTGTACATGAAACTACACGCATGGCTACCTTTTTAAATAGAGGCCTTAATAACTCAATCAAGCAGCGAGCATTATCATCTGCGGTTCGAACTACAGAGGAATTAACGTGATAAAAATGGCCCACATTCGAGAAACTAGATAATCGTTACACTGCGTACATTCACCACATTGGTTTATAGCAATAATAACAAGCGATATGAACGTGGGGCAGATAAATTAAATCACCGGTGCAGGTGTTGATAAAAAAAAGGGCACAGATAAAGGTTGCAGCCTTGCAACTGCTCGCTTCCACCACTGCTGAGAGAAGGGCCTCCATGGGATGGAGCTCTAGACAGACCCCTCCTAGACGATATTTGGCCTACTCTTCCACAGTGGACTTGTATGTATGTATGTTGAACTTCTTTCGCACAGTAGGAAGCTAACCGTGCTAATAATCGGAGGTGCGGGGGAAGGACAATAAACTAAACACACACAAAAATACCAATATCTGACAAATATCTTTGGAAGAGGTGGGATTACCCATACTTCACCCCACCACGCACGACCTGCCGATTCACTAACAATGCCGTACCCATTTATACTGCTGGGTGGACAGAGGCATTGAAGAAAGTTTGTTTCCGTGTTAAACTTAATAAATATTAATAGGCAATTGTTCTATGCTATTCTTGTGTTTGGCAATATGTTCAGGGGCTAGATGTCAATGTCTATTGACGCGAGCCACGAGAGGGCTTTAGGAGAGAGAGTTAGCGTAGTTTAACTATTTCTCTTTTGAAGGAGCGCAGACTACATTGGTGTACTAGATGGTCCTTAGTTTGGGTTTCATGGCCACATTCGCTCGACTGTTGCTTGCCTTTCATTTTTCATTTTATGAAGGAGATGTGCGTATCAGCCTCTTGATGCTCTGATTTGGGTGTTGGTCTTCGAGGATTGTCAAAGCCAGAAAGTGCGAAGTTTGGTTCTCAAGTGAGCTGTTTATTCTGGATGTTCGCGTTGCTCCGCTCTGTTTGCCAGCGTTCGTCTGGATCTGGATGAGATTTTGGGATGGTGATAAGCGTGTTCCCAGAAGGGAAATTGGGACTTGAGTCAGCAGGGAGGTACATTGTTGAGGCCTTGGTTAATGGGTTGGTTGTCGTTGGTTATGATGCACATTGTGTTATTTAATTGTGATTCTAGCAATTTTGTGTACGAGCTCCCGGACCACGCTAGGGCAAAATAATCTGCCACTGAGTAGGTCAGGGAGAGAGGGCGGCAGTTCCCAGGGCATCAGCTGAAGTGCCCCCAAGTTCTTCCTGAAAGTTTCTGTAGCAGGGCGAGTCTTGATTTTGTCTTTTCACAGATCTGTTTGATGTATGTGCAATCAGCGACTTCCACGACACGTCGTGTAGAGGGTACTTCTTTTATTTCTCACACTGGGCACAACACAGGCCAACACTTGTTCTTCTCACTCTTGAGTACAACACTTAGATATTAACGTCTCTACTGGCTACACACAGCCGATCACTCGGCGTGGTCCCACCTCCCTCACTCGTCTCCGCCGCTGGCTGGTGGCGTGACCATGACGGCGATGGAACCCACAGGAGATCTTCCACGTGGTCGGACGACGGAGAGAGACGACGGAGAATGATGTCGGCGAGCAGCGACGCAGCCAGGACCCCACACACGAGCCCCGAGCTCCGGGTTCGCTCCCCCTTATATCCCCCCAGGCGTGGCTAAGCTCCGTCTCCGTCCACGCCCTCTCACGGAACCTTCGAGCAGGTTCTCAGAGTATCTCGGCTAACCCCACCTGTTACCTTTGCCCCAGATACCTCTACTTCTCTGACTGGTTGTTACTTTAACAGTGCCCGCACCCGTGATTCCATTTTCTGGCCAGCAGGTGTCACCCTGTCATTACATATGTATGCATGTCGAATTTATTTCGCACCGTACGTAGCCAACCGTGCTAATCGGAGGTGCGGGGAAGGACAACAAACGAGACGTAAAAAAATGTTGCTGTGGGGTTTGACAACCCTTAGATGCCTTTTGAGTGCGGTCATTGGACATTTGTTTTAAAAAATAGAGCTTCATAGCTCATCCGATTCCTCCTCCAGTCTAAATAAAAATTCGAATTCTGTACGGACGCTTGTGTACGAGGATATATATTTTCAGCCGGCTCCGTCTCTTACCTCGGTGCACAAAACCAAGGCTGGTGCAGCGTTTTTCCACGATGTCAGACGTAAAACCCCGAGCAGCACTGGGGCCATCCCTGCAATGGCCTCTCTGCTCGGTATCCACCTCCCCCCTGCTGCCAACCTCCACCCCGCCCCGCAGTCAGTGCCGGATTATCCGCGTAGCAAAAGTAGCTACATATACTACGGGCCCCGCACTTTCAAGGGCCCCGCGCTAAATGCTTTCAAGCTATCAATTCCGGTTCAGTGATTCTGCACTTGCTCTATTACTATAGTACTATACCGCCTTCAACTTTTATGAACGACTGGGTGTTTAAGGTTAGCGATTTGTCGTATTATCTGTCTGTGTAGCAAATGAAAAAATACAATTACTTTACTATGCAAGTTAAACATTTGTGTTTTAATATGTTTATTTTATTTAGGGCCCCTTTATAACATATGCTACAGGCCCCACACTCACATAATCCGGCACTGCCCGCAGTCGGAGGAAAGTGATCTCGTAATCTTAATTATATTCTATTTTTATCACGGTTTAAATGCACACTTGGGTCAGCTTATGGCATCCCAATTTAATTATTTTTATTGTAATTTTCAGCAGTTTTTTAATGCAAATTTTCGGCTATTTTTCAATACATTAAAGATGTGACCCTGCTGAAGTGGACTCAGAGATGTCACGGCTGTCTTCCAAGGGAGCTCGGGCGCTGGGCACGTTTAAGCGCTTTTGCAAGGGAACAAGCGAGCTAAGCGAGCAAGTGGTTACCGCAACACCCAAGTCAGCTCAGCCGGTGAGGCTGCAATACAAATTCTGGCTCAGCTCACGCTGTATTTTCAAAACTATGCCGTCTCACTTAATAAGGGGCACCGCGGTGGCGAGATGTTAACTACCTCGCCTGGTGTACAGGAGGTCGTGGGTTCGATCCCGACCCTGACGCCTGCTGTATATTTGGAGTTTCAATGTCTTTCTTCCCGTGGTCGTGTGGATTTTTCTCCGGGTCCTCCAGTTTTTCCCTCCACGTGTAGAAACAACGTGCATTTAGAGTATTTGGCTGCTATACATTTCCACGTTGTGAACCACTTCGCAGAGCTATCATTTGTGGCCACGCCATCTCCGATAAAGCAAGGTTGGCTACGTACGGTGCGAACAAAGTTCAACACATGTTCGTACATACATACGAAAAAGAGCCATGTAGCTCAGTGGGCCTTACCTGGTATAAAAACAGTTGAGTTATATATAGGAATATTTTATACACAGAACAGGATGTGAGCAATTCCAGCTCTATAATAAAAAGTCCAATATTCAAAGGGCCTTGTGCATCTCTGCCTTTCAAGTCCTGTAGTTCCCCGAAAAGGCCAAGGTTTTCCCCCCTGACCACTCTTGCCATTTCCTCCTCCCACTCCTAGCCTAATCAAAGTAAAGAAGGTAATGGTACAGCCCAGCGATTGCCTGCTCACACCACTTTCTGGCAGAATGAACGGTATTTGGCCTACTCTTCCACACTGGCTACTTTAGTGGAATGCGCGTAGGAATGCGGCACCAGGTCGTTGTACCTTGTGGTCCTGGAAATACCGAGCCGCTCCAATTCCTCCTTGCTCCTCACCCGTCCAGAGCACCAGGCGCATCGTCCTTTTGGGCCTCAGACCTGCGAGGGAAAAACAGCGAAGTTGAACCTCCCCAGGGCAGCCTGATGTGCGTCAATACCTTCCAGCAAAATCGGCCGTGATTAATCCACTGCTGAATGAAGGGCTCCCCAAACTCATTGACGTCTCTCACGTTTTCTGCGCGGTGCGACAATCCACCTAGGGTCTGCGCACGAGCTGATTTTGATGGCGCCATTTCCTCGGCAGATGCCCCCCTTCTCAGACACGCCCTGTTCCTTCACTGCCGCTCTTTTATTATTCTTGAAAATCTGACATCGTTCATTCTAGCCACGGCGTCTTCTGCACAGGCCCACTTACCTCATCCCTTAACAGCTCTAGAGATTTTGATTTAAAGCTTTCGTGACTGCAGGGATTCATATTCTATAAATATTAAAAAAAAATATTGTAGAAGGGAAATAACAAAATAATATAAATATAAAACAATAAATATAAAACAATAAAATTGTTTTATATTTATATTATTCTGTTATTTCCCTTCTACGTGACTTTATCTAAAGAACCTAGAATATGAATCCCTGCAGTCACGAAAGCTTTAAATCAAATTTTATTGTTTCATATTTATATTATTTTGTTATTTCCTTTCTACGTGACTTTACCGAAAGAACCAAGAATATAGTTCTAGAGATGTCATTAACCTGCATCTCACCTCTAATCCACGTCTCCCTCCTTCTGTGTCTCAATGTAATTCCAAGCGTGCCCATCTCCATGTTCGTTTGAGCACTGCTCGGTCTTGGTTCCGTTTTGTCGGACTAAATTACAGCGCGTAGTGTTAAAGGTGTCAACACGTAGACGAATGCTTGAGAGGGTGAACCTCCTGGCGTTTGCGAGACACAGTCATACGCTGAGGCCACCGTCCTATGTTCTTTAGAAAAGCTCCAGAGGGAGCCCAGCGCATCTGGGATAACCCATGGCATGCAATTACTATGCCACGTTTTTTTTTTTTGCCGCGGTGGATAAAACTACACGCCGTCTGACTGATTGCGACCATCATAAAGTTTCAAGTCACATTCTTGCAGCAGTTAATTAGCTCAGCGATATCACCCGTGGCTCATTGCTGTGCGACTAAGCTCACTAATCTCACTGAAATCAGAAACATCAAGCAAGGATGCTGGCTATTCTCTCTCTCTGTCTCCTTCTCTCTCTGTCTCTCTCTCTCTCTCTTACTCCCTGTTGTCTTTCTCTTGTAACGCAGCTGTAGAATACTGAGTTTATATGTCAAATGTAAAGGTGCAGCCCTGTCATTGATTATTCATCCGAATCAGAATATTTATTTACACTGGAGGAATCCAATGAGCTATAAAGCTCTGTTTCACAGATGTTCAGTTCATGCCACTCCTGACAGAAGGGCCCCCCTTTTAGAGGGAGCTCTAGGAAGCTCCTTATAGGGAGTATCTTGGCCTAATATTCCGCGCAGGCTAGACGTATTGGAAGAGGTAGGGGTTACCCGCACTTTGCCCCACCACACGCGATCTGCCAATAGACCAACAGCGGTGCACCTAATTATACTGCCGGGTGGACAAAGACGGGAGCAGTTAAGAGACTTGCCCCATTGTTTCAAGCTAGTAGATCAACCGGCAAATTCTGAATTGAATGTCCAGTGCACTAACATTTACACCACAGCACCGTCGCTTTGTTTTCGTATATATACATGTGCGCGTGTACGAAGGGCTTACGAAAGTGAAACAATGGCCACATTAATACAAGTTATTAAGCACACTCTCGGCTTGGGTTTAACACACTAATGCCCATTTTAAGCCACGTGTAAACGAGAGCGTCGTCATGCCAGAAAGGTTGGGTTTGACAAAACATTCACCGCTCCAAGGTACAGAATGGAAACATGGAAACTGAAAATGCATTAAAGACTTGCTCCACTTCAGAAAGCTACTGACAGGTGTTGACATTGGCAGGTCTTAAACATTAATTGTAAAGCTATAAGTTGAAATGTGGCCTCTCATCAAAATATATACTGGAATCAATTGTGATTAGCACCTGGACTACACGTGGTTACTTGTTCTAAAAAACTTTAAAGACATTTTTATTCTGTGGCTTGGGTACGGATAAAATCTGACGAATGCAGATTTTCATACTGTGCAACTCCATCAAGATATTTTTCAAAGGTCTGTCATTTCAAAGCACCTAATTTCAGCAACAACAAAAAACTACTGTTAAATCACTGGTAGAGAAGAGATGTATTTACATTTGAAGGCTATTTAATGTATGTTTGTTTTCTTTCGTTCAAAAGGAAATGATTGATTATTCCAATTAGGCTTGAATTATTAACAACATGGATCTGAATGACAAACTGCATGATTAGTCTTTTTTAAAGAATCAATCTCTGCAAAAACGGTCGACTTTTCCCCCCATTCCCAATGTAAAAAGAAAACAACCACGAATTGATATTTGTCGACGCTTGTGAAAAAAAAAAATCTCCATTCTTAGTTCAGCATCAATAACAAAGCCACGGGCACACAAGTTTTCAAGTAACACAAAGAGTTAAAACCACCGTCTGTTGTAGCACGCCAGGTGCCATTCAAACAATCGCACGATGTCAGGCCGGACTCCTGCTGGGCCCGCCGCTTAAAAATCTCGCTGCCGTCCGCAGGACGTCAGCGCTTGCATCTCCATTTTTCTGCTCCACCGGGCTCATAAGCAAGCTCCCGACAGCGTCGTCTGCCGCCCTAAATTTAACTACAGCACTTTGATAGCTGTGCCGTGGTGTAACGGTCAGCACACTGGGCTTCCAGAGGACACCGGCGGTTCCATTCAATCTCTCAGCAAGGCAATTGGAAGTCTCAAATTTCCCCCACCTCTTCTGTCCACCCAGCAGTTAGTCGATCACCAGGATTTCCATGTGATGCTTTATATGTGGGTACTCGAACCTCGTTCAAAACGCATAGCCAGTGTGGAAGAGTAGGCCAAATACCGTTCATTCTGCCAGAAAGTGGTGTGAGCAGGCAATCGTTGAGCTGTACCATTACCTTCTTTACTTTGATTAGGCTAGGAGTGGGATTGAGGAATTGGCAAGAGTGGTCAGGGGGGGAAACCTTGGCCTTTTCAGGGCTTGAAAGGCAGAGATGCACAAGGCCCTTTGAATATTGGACTTTTATTATACAGCTGGAATTGCTCACATCCTATTTTGTGTATAAAATATTCCTATATATAACTAAACATTTTTAAATTTTACCAGGTAAGGCCCACTGAGCTATATTACTCTTTTTCAGAAGCAACCTGGCCACAAATGATAGCTCAGCGAAATGGTTTATGACGTGGAAATGGAAAGCAGCCAAACACTCTAAACGCGTGTTTTTCAAATGTGGAGGGAAAAACTGGAGGACCCGGAGAAAAATGTACCGATAATAAAGAAGCGCATGGATAAAAAGTATTGATATTGTGTCGATAAAGGAAACACGGAGAAAACACGGGCTAATGCCGTGAGGACGGAAGGGGCAAGGGAAGAAGGGAGGCCACACAAGTGGAAGAATCTTCTCACTCAAGAGACGTGGAGCAGTGGAGCAAAATGCGGTGGTAGCAAAAAAAACGGGGACAGTAAAGAGTGTACAGGTACACAGGATCAGGGGAGAGGGCGGCAGATTCCCCAAAAAATAAACCTAAATAAGTAATTATAGTTCTACCCGTGACACATATACTTAAGATGTATACCTGCAAAATGAAATATTGAATGGTGAGATATTAATGTTTTTTTATGTTGTCCCAAAACAAATGGTAAAGATAAACCGAGATTTTTTGTTAAAATTTTACCACTTTGTAATCCTAGGACTATTTTATCCATAAACAAAGGGGAGTCATTCACCCAAGTCATATTCACGTTACTTAAACATGGTTTCGAGACACTAGTCACCGCAAAACATCACTTAGAATGAAACATCCATTACAACTTTCCTCCGCGTTAGATTTCTCGAAAAATCATGAAGCCATTCACACTTGGGCTCAGCGACAGTTCTGAAAGTTGCAAGGTGTTACGGACGCCTTCTGTGTTAACTGCGAAATGTGTGCGCAAATTGCTTTTCGCTCACAAAAACATAATGAAACGTGTACGCTTGCCTCCATCCGTACAATTAAAATGGAATACTCATGGCCTTAACCAACACCTTTGTCAGCTGTGTGTGTGTGTGGCCCTCTCATGTTTAATGCACGAAGGCAGATTTTTTCCTGCGCTCAAATGTTAAGGTAAAAGGAGCGGCACCAACGGTTGCGAGCCTGCGCCACTGTCAATGGAAGGGCATCTCCAATGCAAGCGGATCCAGAGAACCCCTATGGAAGGTGTTTTGGCCTATTCTTCCACGGTGGCCGCACGTCTTTGCAGAGGTGGCAGTGTCCGCAACTATGCCCTAGCAAACGCGACCTGCCGAACAACAAACTGCGGGGAACACTTTTATACCGCTGGGTAGACAGAGGCAAGGAGATTTTAAGCAGCTTGCCCATTCTTTCACTAAAACAAAAGAAAACTATTTTTATTTAACCAAGTAAGGCCCACTGAGCTACGTAGCTCTTTTTCAGAAGCGACCTGGTCACAAATGATAGCTTAACAAAGTGGCTTATCACGTGGAAATGTACAGCAGCAAAATACTGTAAACGCACGTTGATTCTAAATGTGGAGGTGAAACCGGAGGACTTGGAGAAAAACCCATGCGACCGTGTGGAGAGAGACATACAAAACTCAAAATATACAAGCGTCAGGGTTGGGATAGAACCCACGACCTTCTGCATACCAGGCGAGGCAGATAACATTTCGCCACCGTGGCACCCCACGTTTGGAGTTCGAACCGGCGACTTCTGCATTTCAGGTCCAGTGTGCTGACTGCTACACCACGATAGCATCCTCCTGATGTTTAATGTATGGAGGCAAGTAATTCTGCCGTGTGATGTAAACTAGGTTAAAAGATTAATGTAATTGCACCGCCATTAATCTTTTTCAAAGCCGCTGGAAAATAAATAAAATCCATCACACGGCTCCTCACGACCTATCGGTGTCTCCGCGAAAACAAATTGAGCCATCACGCGGCGAGCACGGAGACTTTTTTCGTGGCACGGCCCGGTCAGACGCCTCAGAGTCGCCTCTCAAATTGCCGGACCCAGCCCCGCGTCACACGGGCCTATTCATGAGGGTGAGCAGCTCGCATCCAATTTAAACATCACACACACACACACTGCCGCTCCTGTGACACGCGACGCTGGACGCCGACGGAAATTAGCAGACGCTCCGACGGCCGCGTGCAACACGCTTGCCGTTCATTCGGCGACGTAATTGCCAGAGTTGGGCAACGTAAAAAAAAACGAAAAAGGACTCCATTTAGTTCGAATTCATGTACAGAGCATGTTTTACCCGGAGGACCGTGTGTTACTCAATAAGGTACCCGAAGGCTGCGACGTGATAGAACGTTGCGCTGTGGGATATTGATATTACGACCGCAACTGCCGGAGAGGTTCTGCCGGAGAGGAGCGTCCACCGAGGAGATGGAGCGCTGAAATCGGCTCGTGTGCAGGGAGTAGGTGGATATAATGCGCCGCATGAAACGTGAAAGATGCAGAGGGTTAGGGCAGGCGTTCATCCAGCAGTGGATTGAGCAAGGGCTGAATACGATGATTACAACTACACAACGTTTCGATCGCAACACAAGCAACCGTAATCAGGTGAAACAAACACAGCAGCAGAACTGCTGACGTCAGCACGCTTGGAATTACCTAACGTTGCTTGTGTTGCGATCGAAACGTCGTGATCTATTAATTTTCTATCTACGTGACTTTACCGAAAGAACCAATAAGATGCTTCCTTATACCTCACACACCTCTCTCTCTCACCCCCCTCTACTCTCCTTTCTGCTAATGCTCTCCCATCTCCCATCCTCCTCCACTCGCGCTACTAACTCGTGTCCCCCCCAGCCCCTTCTCGTTATCAGCACAGCGGCGTGGCTGTCCAGTGTGTGCAGGCGGTGCCACTGCACCGCGAGTGGGGGGAGGAGGGGTGCATGGACCAGAGAGGGGCGCAGGTGCCAGCCTATGAAGAGAGGGTAACGTGGACAGGGGGGGGGGGTTCATCAATTCCTTACACGAGTGCCCACGTTAACCCGGCTATGCCAACGATCCACGAGCAACCAAAGGGACTCCCTTTCAACCCTACATCCTCATCTCTCTCTCCGCTCTTTTTCTCAGCAGCCAAGTCCCTCCTTAAAGCTCATCTCTTACATCTGGCCTTTCCCACAGCACCCTCCTCTGTATGTGTTTTCCTTCCGCTCCTCACTCCACTTCCCCCCCCCCCCTCCCATTTAGCATGAAAGCTCTTTGAAGTGGGGGACCTCGTGCATACACTCGAGTGGTTTGTTGTCTGTTTTTAGATCAGTGCATTCGCGGTCTAAACTGATTCCGCTGCGAAGCGTTCTTGTGAACAATTACGGCAGAGTTGAAGCGATACACGACCATAGCCATGCTCTTCATTGATCCAGGAATGCCTCGCTGAGTTTCAAGACTCATTTTTTCGTAGCACAGTCCTGTATTGAGTTGGTGAGCCATTTCATTTAATGAGTGTTTAGTTTGTGGCAGTAACCTGGAGTGTCCAGATAAACCCCACACAAAGGAGGGGATACTACTCAAAGCTCATGGAATAAATCCACAGTAAGACCCAATGTGTGAATACGGAATCTGTATGTGCATTAAGCACATTGCTGATCTCTAGATTTGAAGCTTTCGTGACTGCAAGGATTCATACTCTTAGTTCTTTCGGTAAAGTCACATAGGTAAAAAATGAAATTAAAATTAATAAAAAAGAAAATAATAAAATCACGACGTTTCGGAGGCAACACAAGTCTGCATCTTGATGCAGCAAATCTGGCTGTGACGGTCCCACCTGATGACGGAGACTTGTGTTGCCTCCGAAACGTCGTGATTTTATTATTTTATTTTTTATTAATTTTAATTAAAATGTTTACCTACGTGACTTTACCGAAAGAACTAAGAGTACATTGCTGATCTGTCAGTTTCTGTCCACCTTGTATCCCTATGCCTTACATACAACCAGTGGTCTCCCATCCAAGAAACTAACCAGATTAGACTCTGAGATCCAATGAGACTGGTTGCCATTCATGGTGATTTGGTCATAGGTGATGATGATGGTGATGATAATCGGCATCTAGCATGTAGTAGGAAAAGTTTTGCATCATAGTTCCATTATCATCACTCTAATTCACCTCCTGAATGTTCTTTGCACAACTAGAAAAAAGTGAGAGAACGGTAGTGAGCTGCTTGAATAGATAACGCACCTGAGTTTGTGTTCAACACAGGTAGAACGTTACTAATTAGAGCATGGGTTTGTTGTTGTTGTTGTTGCATTCACCAATGTGCCTACTCTGGTGTGAAATCTTTTAGCCTGTGATTTGGCACATTTGCATCATTTGTCTGCGAGAATGCAAAATCGAATGTATTTATTCCTTGTCATTTAAACTACATTTTTTTAAAGTGCGGGGTGTAAAGCACGAGTGTGTGCGATGCTTCTCAGCTGATGTGGGCAAACGCATTGTTCGTTTCCAAACCGACGTTCATCAAAAATTAAATGTCACCTATTTAGGTCAGTGGAAAACATTTAACGCAAATCACCATGTGCTCCGCAGACATTCCTTAGCTTTAGAAATGTGCATGTGCATGGGAAACAAGCCATGTAATTTCCACTAAAGTTCAAATGTGCATTATGGCTTTAGAAGACCAGTGATGCATGGAGTTAAGAACTTGCTAATGCTGACATTGTGAGAGGATGAAATGAAAAAAAAACCGTCATCCATGCATGACAATAAAATGTTTCTTTGTTGACACTGGGGAAACAAACTCTGCGTTGAATCGGATATCACAACGAGCATAACTCCGCTGTAAGCTGTGCTCACATTTGAGAAAAATTCGATTAGAAACACACGCCTCGCGCAGCATCTGCCTGAGGTCAGCTGCACCCCCATCCTGTCCACCTGGGCTCCCAGCCTCTAGGCTGTGAGGCCGCGAGGCACTCCATGCCTGCGGGTTTTTTTGTCTTCAACGAGCGCCTACACCCAGCCCATGTGGAAAAATGTTAAAGTGGTCACCGGTGATGATGCACGCTGCAATGGGAAGTCACCACAACTTTACAACAGCTGTCGCCACTTAACCCGGTGTTAGTTGTGATATATGGGAGGGGGGGAGGGCTTTCGTTAGCTTCGGTCTTAATGGTAACCACACGGGAAACGCAGAGAATGGGACGTAATGTTCGTTAATGGCTTCCAAGATTGGTTTTGGGGGCGGCGACATGCTAGGTAATTCTACGACAGGAAGTGCAGTAGGATCTTTGGTTGTTGTTGCAAAGTCTCTAAAAAGTTGGCGGCCTTTTTTTGTTACGACTTTCAGTTTTACAAATGTAGATTGGAAGTGAAATGGTCCAGAACGCTTAACTTTGATTGCAGACCAAGGATCGAATAGAAAATGTTGAATGAAAGCTCAAATCCTGCAGCTAGAATAATTTCACTCCCCTGTGCGTGAACATCAATGTTCTACTTTTTAGCAAAAAAAAAAACCAGTGGTAGAATTTACAATTACGTGATTTCACTAGCACTAAAAGCAATAAATACCTTAGCTGATGCATTTTCCAAATTGGTAAATTATTTCCCATAGTACTACTCAAAGTATGATTATTTCAAACAGGTTACATTAACAAACTGAGATGGATTGCTATTGATTAAAAAAGAAAATCCTTAAAATTCCCATGTGAATTTTAAATTCCAGAATCATTTCCTGTCAAATGTAATAGGTCCTTTGGGGTTTTCATTGTTGTCCTAAGCAGGTTCTTCACAGACACAGCGCTCCGCTCCCAGAAAACACACACGCCAAGCCACCACCACCATCAACACTACTCTACCATGCGAGCAATCGCTCCCAGCGTCAAGAGCACTTTTCCACGTCCTTCCTGAGCGTCGGAAGAGGCTTTGCCACACGCAAAGACAAAGATCCTCGGATAGCCTTAACGGACTTTTGAGGTAAGTGTTGCTAGCGAGCAACTATGAAGGCCGTCACGGCACACGAGGGGGTGGGTGACCAGCACCACGCCCGGCTGCCTTTATCTCCCCAGCGGCGATGTTTACACACCGCACCAGGTCCTCATTTGAGGCTGAGTCGACCTAGGGGATGCCCAGGACCGATTCAGATCAGTCACTGGTGTTGGCCATGAGCGGCAATCGGACTCGGGTCGCTGTGTTCATAGCACAGCACGCTTACCGCTACGCCACCACTCCCCACGCGCACACACACACAATCTCACACACACACAATCTCACACACACACAATCTCACACGCACACAATCTCACACACACACAATCTCACACGCACACAAGCACTTGCCGAGGTCTCGAATGAGTGAAAGGGCCTCCCAGGAGATGAAGGCTCCGCCACCGTCATCCATGGCTCCCTGACCGACGTCCCAGCTGTCCAGGTGGCCACTCAGCAGCACCACCTGTCAATGACGATGAGAGCTCACAGATTGCACCAACACCTGGGGACATCTCCAAGCAAGCCCTTAACCTCACCACGAAGGCATACATTGTTTTCAGCATGTTTTATCCATCTCCTGCGCCGGAAAACGTTTTTACATATGTGTGTAAACAATAATAAAATCATATTTTATGGCCCTTTGCAATTCCCACTGATGGATGAATGCCCCACCCATGCTGTGTCCGCCGCGGGGTTGTTTCAGCATACTTCACCTTGCTGGTCAATGTTCGCATTCACCACTGACTCGGAATTTAACTGAGGGTTCAATTGACCGGGTACAGAGCACGGCGCAACTAACCACTGTCCCACTGCTCCACTCCAAAAATACATTTTACGCAAAATATACACATTACATGTCTATTGTCCTATATGTATATAAATGTATGTACCTATAAATATAACACTACTTTGTAGTGTTTAGCGGCACAGACGGTGAGTAAATAGTTCCGGTGAAAATTGAAGTAGAGCAACAGGAAGCGGACAAAGAATAAAAAAAAAACATGTCGCGACAAATATAAAAATATGAATTCATGAAAAAAAATCCGACTGAATTTCTATACTCACTTGCAAACCTCACTTTGAATACCAACAGGGAGAGGACTGTCAGGGCTGCAGCAGGAGCTGCCACATCATCAATAGACCATCATCCCCTTTGCTCACGAAAACCAGAACCGCTCTGAAGTTTTGGTTGGCAGAGCATCGTGATTTTGCTTTGAAATTTAGTTTGAAAGGAAGGAAACGGAATGAGTGCTGTGGTGATTTAACAATTGAAATCAGTTCATTGATCACGAAAAACTAATATTTTCGAAAAATGTATTATACAACAATTGGCATCCGTGCAGTGCCACCGAATGACGATTACGTCATTAAAGCACATTCCTTGAACCTCGTGTTTGAAAACTGTTTACGCATGTGTGAACATGCTCCTTCTTGATCCCCTTCGGCCACGTCTATTTCATCAATATTATTAAGATCCTCAGATGGTGCATTGCTCACTGTCCCACGGTCTCAGGATTCACACGGGGGGGGGGGGGGGCGTGATGGAGCCTTTGCGATTGCGGCAGTTAAATTCTGGCCCTCCTTGCCCCTTCGAGGTCAGAGGACTTCCGAGAAACTCACAAGTCTTCAAATATCGACAGTAAAACCTTGGATTGCGAGCATAATTCGTTCCGGAAACGTGTTTGTAATCCAAAGCACTCGTATATCAGTTGTGATCACGTGACGCTCGGCAGACAAAGCGTGCTACTCGTATTGAAAGACCTCGCTTGTTTATCAAATTAATATTTATTTAAAAAAATTGCTCGTCTTGCAAAACACTCGCAGACCAAGTTACTCGCAATCCAAGGTTTTACTGTATCTGTTTAAAATGGCTTTCCCTCCGTTGAGTTATTTTCAAACGTATTTTTCACCTCTTATTTTTCTTGGTTGATGTTAAACTATTTCCGCCTTTTCATGCATAGCGCCACTGAGAACGACTGCTTAAGGGAGCGCTTTCTAAATTTAAATTATTATTATTAGTGTCTATGTAAATAGCATGCTAATTGTATGCTAATGTAGTTGCTAATTTAATCAATTTCAACGGTTGACAGTTGCAGCTGAATCCGGAATAATCTGGGTACCACTTTTGTACAATTGTCATTGTTCAGTCCTAAGCTCTCAGACCACGAGAGTTTGTAACTCAGGGCTATCGGAAAAAAAAAGTTTCATTGCATCGCATCCTTTTCTTTTAGCCCTCTCATGTACTTTCTGTTTGTGTACCCTGTGTCGTTCGGCATGATGTTCAACGTGTCGCTCCACGTCACGGGAGCTTCTTTGGCAACTGAATCTGAGAGCTGCTTCATAAACTGGAGCTCCCACGGCACGTGTTGTGGAACGTCGGACATCGCACCGAACAACACGAAGGACACCCCCAAGCAACGAGCTACGCGGCACAACGGCGAGCAACTATGCGGTGGGCCTTGTTTTTGTCCCTAGAAGGGAAAATGTGGCTGATAGGAACAACAAAGGCGTGTGACAGACAACCCCCCACGGCAGTTGTGAATGTGGCCTTCACCCGGCCATAAATATTCCACCCACATCTCAGAAGCAACACGGGGCTCCAATTACTCGAACGCGGCAAATAAAAATCTCATTATCATGTGAAATTGTTTTTGTACTCACGTTGATTTGTGTCTGCCGCTTTTATTATTCGGGTAGAAGGTAATTCAAGTGGCCTCTGCCATCTCTACGAATTAAGCCTCGCCACCATGGCATTACAAGTGGTAAACTGAACGTAAATGTAATCGCAATAATTGCATTATCTCTTCAGCTTACATTAATCAGAAAATATATTTGGAGCATTTAATTTATTTCTCCACTTAGCACAAAATTGCCAGTGCAAGCTGCACTGGCATCACTAACAGCCGGTTGCAAGTGACGATATTTTCCAGGCCTGGGTGGCGGAGATGGCTCAGGGAATTTAGTGGAACCGAGTCAGTGATGCTGCTAACGCGCTGTAAATTCTGAGTTGCGGCTCGGCTCGGGCTTGGCTCTCGGCTCTCGTCCCAAGCGAGCCGGCTCAAAGCCATTTCGAACTTGAGCCGGCTCTCAGCACGATTCGGGCTATGTTCAGGATCTCCATGAGCTGAGCCCGAGCCAAGCGACTGAGTGGCTCAAGCCTAAGCTGAGCAGTGTTAAGAAACCCTGCCGAAGTCAAGCCCGTGACTAACACTATGGCGCTGAGAGCCTGGGTTTGAATCTGGGTTCACAAGTATACCGAGCTGATGGTCCACGTCATCACCAATTATTAAACGTTCATAAAATTCACACTAACTTGGTTCATGTTGCTTATTATAAAACTAAACTTTTTTACCAGGTAAGGCCCACTGAGCTATATAGCTTTTTTTAAAAGTGACCTGGCCACAAATGATAGCTCAACGAAGCGGCTTATCACGTGGACATTTTTAGCAGCCAAATACTCTAAATGCATGTTAATTCTAAATGTGGGGAGAAAAACCAGAGGACCTGGAGAAAAATCCACACGACCACGGGGAGAGAGAACATGCAAACTTCAAATACACAGGCGTTAGGGTTGGGATCGAACCCACGACCTCCTGTATACCAGGCGAGGTAGTTAACATCCCGCCAGCTCTGACACTTAACATGTTTGGGATGATTAACATGCGAGCAGCACTCTTTGCACTGTTTTTGCCCCGAGCATGGATAAAGAAGCTTCTTGAAGTCACTTCAGAAGTCAATGCTTTGATGTCATCCACTCGTGCCATTCACTGATATGTGATGATCGCACTGTTGGCTGCAGAGTTCTGAATGGCAAATGTATTCATGTCATGACACGACAGTTGGAATCCCATTTGCGGATTTTATTTTTTCATCTGGGCCATTTTTATTCCCTGGAAGCCATTTAAGGAGCAATACTTCTGCATGGGTTGTTTTCACGGTTGCGCTCTGCAGCTTTCCGAGGGGGAAAAACGTCGGGCACCATGCCGATCAACGTACGGGTAGCAACTCAACTTGCAACACACAGCACAGTATTCGCTCGCTCGCTCTCCAACGGAGGGGAAGGACTCAGCGGCGTGAGGAACTACAGACGAGCAGGAGAGGCAGCCAGGTGGTAAGCCGGCAGCAGAGGTCGCAAACGGGTTTTGATTCCTTACCCGTACCCGGCCGCACCAGGGTCGCAAACGGCTACCCGTACCCGTACCCTACCCGTACCCGGCCGGGTACGGGTAGGGTACGGGTATCGGGTACCTTATTGCGACCTCTGGGATGAAGCCATGTTGCAGGCGCGGGTGGGTTGATTCTAGGAACTTGAATTGTGAGAAGAGACAAGACGTTGGGAAATGAGTGACAAACGGTTACTCACCAGTGACTCACGGTCTACCCATACCAGTAACCGGCCGCACCAGGGTCGCAAACGGGTACCCGTACCCGTACCCGGCCGGGTACGGGTAGCCGGGTATCGGGTATCGGGTACCCGGTTGCGACCTCTGGCCGGCAGGCACCAAGTTCGCCCACCCCACCCCCCAAGCTCTGTGCTCCTCTATATATTAAGTTATTATTGGCCAATTATTGATTGTTTACACGCGTGGGACGGAAACCGGAGCGCGTGTAAGAAGAAAAAAAACGCACGCATGCTGGGGTGGGCGGGGGACAAAATCTCTCTCCCATGCGAATGGAACGGCTGGAGTCCACAGTTTCTGCACCACCGTCTCCTGGCACACAGGTTAATGGCACCTTCCATGCCCACAGGAAGGGCGGAGTTCAACAACATTTGTCCGTCCAATGCGCTAACCCTCGCCAAGAGGGTGCTGGATCACAGGCATGCAGTGGCCACCGTCGACTGGCGAGTGAGTTTCCGTGACAATATTTGGGTGACAATATTTTTTTTAAGTGGACCGAGTTCCTTTGAAGAGCTATGCACAGGGAGGTGTATCTAACACTGAGCACCTGCATTGACAGTGGTGCACAAGCACAATTAAGAACAGACATTCACCACATTCGTGATGAACACTGACCTACAGCAACATATACACAGTGGTCCGACGTTTCAGGCAATTGAACTTCTTCTGGGAAGCAACTCGCATGTGTAGCATGTTAAGAGCTGGACAGATATCTTATACGATAGTTTATGCTCACGCAATTGTCCCATCTGGAAAGGTGGTGCAGTGGTTAGCACAGTGGTTATCACACTACACTCTGAGTCCGGTGACCTGAGTTGGATACCCAGCTATCGATAATTCCCTTCACCAACCCACAGATTCCCGTGATCCAGTGCGTTCAGACAACCGGCATGACCTACATGGCATGGGGAGTCCTTCATTCCACAGTGAATTGACAGAGGGCTGCAATTGCATCATTCTATGGTGATTTTACATGCATATTGTATCTCATTTCATTACTAAAGCAGCAGCAACGGCAAACCCCCTGCCTATTATTGGGCGAGATTAAAACAGTTTTTATAAG